GAGGGTAAGTATTGAATAGATTTGTAATGTTGTTGTAGCATGGTTTGTTTATACGTGCAGTTGTGGGGCCATTGAAAGGTCACGATATTCTGGTCCAGACATAACTATCCGAAGATCAATGCCATCAATGAATAATCGACGAGCAATCCATGGGTAATCAACTGATTAGTCACCGATTATTAGCTTTAAACTTAGAATTGGCAGAGATATATCATTAACTGCCCAGTTTTAAGTTGCTTTAAACCTTGAACAGTCATTTCCTTTCACCAGGTGGACAAAAGGACCCTCTTTATTGCTGAGAATGTCTGGAAGTTTGTCTTCTTTGCCTTTCCTTTTTGGGAACTGAAACTTAATATACACAATGTACATGTATGTATTAATATTATTTCAGGCATACCGGTAGTTCCCCAGTGGTTTTCATAATAGCTAACCTTCTTACATGTACACGGTACACTTGAATTTCTACATTGTACATGTATATTAACATAATAGTGGGTTTTAATATGTGATTACTATTTTAGTTATCCCAAAAAGCTGTTGCTTTGAGGAAGTCGTGGACACATGACATGTCTTGCGAAGAGGACGGAGATGAATCAGAGTATAATCCAGACCAGGATGAGGAGTCAAGTAGTGATGAAAGTAGTGACAAATTTTCAGATCATGAAGTGGTGCGAGGTGATTCAGATGAAGAAATTGTGGAAGAGGAATCAGCCAATATCAATGTGAACAAATCTGACCAGTCTAAAAAGAAAAAGCGTCCAAGCAAAGCGAGGATTAAAAAAGAATGCCCAGTACCCTACTGTCATAAGATTGTTGTTCATCTGCCAAGGCATTTGCGAAAAGTGCATGATTGGCCAAAACATCAAGCTCGTGCTGCAGTATTGCGGTTTAATTTACGTAAGAAATATTCCTTTTCAACTGCAGAGAGTGCAGCTGCTGGCAATAGGAAAGGGAAAACAAACGCTGATGAGCACGGGCAAAAGAGGTGCAACAAGGATTACCACAAAAAGAGATGTTGTCCAATGGTAGGGTGTTCTGCAGTGGTCAAAAGGTTACCTTCACATTTGCAAACTGTTCATGGTTTCAGTCCAAAGTCATCAAAGTACAAGGCCTTGTTAAGTAAAGCTCTTCCACAACCCAAAAGGCCCTATTCAGTTCAGATGATTGAAAAGAGGGCTGCTGCTATCAAGAAAATTGAATTAGAACCACCTATGCCTGATATACCTGTAGTGGATACTGTGGGAAATGATGAAGATGAAGAAATGGACTTGGAAGATTTTGAACAAACTGAGACTTCAAGCACATGTGATGATGTGATTTTAATTGAAGATGATGTGGATAGCAGTGAGAGTCCTGACCCTGAAGTGTTAGTCATGCTTGCCAATTGGTTACAATCACCGGATGGAGGTAAAAAAGATGAGAAAACAGCAAAGCAACATGTGTCACAGATAAAAAACATTTTATCTCTGATTGATGCTGAAAGAAGGGTAATGTCGCTTTTCGATTGCTCCCTACTGAATGAAAAATTCGTAAAGTATGCGGAACAGAAGTACGTCCCTCAAACAATCAAATCGTACTTCATGAGCCTGCGTCATTTCTACAGCTATGTTTTAGCAGAAAAGCCAGTAATTGATGCCACAACTGAGCTGGTTACTCAGATGATGGAAAAGGTAAAGAGATGGTCTTCTTCCTACAAGAGATCTAGCCAGAAAAGAAAGTGGGAAAAGATGGAAGAAGACAGGGTTGAACTTGTTACACCTGAAAAAATCCAGCAGTTTGAAAGAAGTCAGGCTGCCAGGGATGCTGTCATTTTGCTGGGAAAAATGAGTGGAGCACACAGCATTGAGATCACCCAAAGTCAATATACTCTTCTGAGGGACTTTCTTCTAGTGCAAATTTCGATCGACAATGCAAACCGGGCAGGAGTGCTGTCAAACATGACTGTGGAAGAATTTGAACGCGGTTACAAAGAAGATGACAGATTCATTATGAATGTTATGAAACATAAAACATTTCATGTCCACGGCCCAGCGCAAGTCATCCTCACTGGCAATCTGCAAAACTGGATCAGTATCTTTATAAAACAAGTGAGATCGAAGCTGCCATATATTACAGCAGAGAAAGAACAACCACTGTTCCCATCTTGGAATGGAAAGAAATTGGAATCAGGCCAAATTAGCAAAGCTATTCAGTCCGTTTGGAAAAAGGCTGGAATTGCAGGACCAATCCACAGCACACTCTTCAGAAAAGGTGCAGTAACAGTGTGTCACAGCAGCCAGAAGGAAATGACCAGTGACCTCGCAGACTTGATGGCTCATAAAGAAGATACTGCAAAGAGGTATAGAGTACTATATTACTTGTTACTAGCTTTTCAATCAGTATATTATTTTGTTTGGAACAAATTTTTAGATTTTCGATTTTCAAATTTATTGTGGCCTTTGGGTACATGTACATGTATTTACATTGTATTAGGCTGAGAGTTGCTCTATCATTTTAAAGT